TCTGCCTTTTTTTCCCCTTTCTTTTATTTTGTTTGTTTCAAGGTTTAACTCCAGCAGCCTGTTCAAGTTTAGTGAAGAAAATAGAGATGGAGGGTGGACGAGCTGTCTACTTTTCTTTAAAGCAAGACAATACCAGGGATATTGTGGTGACAGCTTGCATTGTGTGTGTGTTTGTGTGAAATAGATGATTTTGTGTGTGTACAGAAAAACAGAGAAAAAAAATAATAATATAGAGAACGCGTGTGTGCTTGCGTGTTACACTGACAGCTTGTATTCTCCGTGATTAATGATGTGCTGTGTGACTTGATAAGTGCTTCGGAGGACCAACGCTTGTTTCAATTAGACCTTGTGAAGGTCGCGACGCCGAGCCGGCCTCTCATTATCATATCCATAATCAATCCACATTATCATAGGGGAATGTGCAATGGTTGTGTGATGTCTTCAGCACACACACACACCTAATCACATACCAAAACACAATGACATAGTCTCTCACTCAAAAGTATACACACACACACACACACCCTTCACTCCAAGTTGATTTGAATCATAACAGAAGCTGTCGGAACGGATTGTCTGTTCAGATTAACAGTTTGTTTCTAAGAATTAAGCAGCATTGATGGTGGTGGCATTTCAGATCCTCACTGCAGACCCAAATGCCAAAACATCACTCTGTCACCCCCACCTCCCTCCCTCCTCCTTTTTTTTTTCTTCACACAATTGCATGTATGAGTACACATCTGCGCACACACACACACACACACTCAGCAAAGGACCCCGGGGCATTTTTAATAGAGGCGAAGTGATTCGTATGTTTTTGCTCCTCTAATGAGAACAGATTGAGTGGTATTTACACTTCATCGGCTGATCTAACCACCTACACATTTCCCTCATGCTGTTGCCTGCTCCTCACTGGCCCAAAAACAGACATGTGGAGAGGACCGGGGCTTTGCCTTCAAATAGAGATGCGACATGAACGACACCTCTGTCTCTTTGGCTCATCGTGGCAGCATAAATAGGAACTGTTACAAAGCGGAAGACTGGAGCCCGATTTGGTTTCCATGAAGAGGTGGTCGCCTCAGACAGTTAAAATAATAAGTTGTCTCAAACCAGAATGGCAGACACGTTGATCCAGGGGGGGCTTTCTGCTGTCTCTCTGAGAGCAAAACGTGCAAAAATAATGACAATCACAGCTTGCTTGTTTCTTTGAAAAGCATTCAAAAAACTCACTGATGTTGTCTATCATATTTGCCAAGCTAAAATGAAATGAAGCAAAAGTTGGGGGTTAAACCTAATCGTACAATACCAAAGCAATTAGTGGAATCGAAGATATAAAACATTAATTACCTCAGTAGAAGGGGAATCTAGCAAGGCGGTAAAGATAGATAGGCCTCCTCTGTCTCTGGAACTTCAAAGGCAAAATACTCCGGCAATTTAGCGTTGAACTTTAGTGGCAACATGAGATGTTAAAGGCAGATGAAAGTGCTTGCAGTCAAGTTGAACCCATTTTTTACCCATGTTGAAACAAAACCAATGAAGGCCTATAGCGTTCCTTGAAAGAATGCATAACACCCACCGCCTTTTACGGCAGAGCATTAAACAGAGATCATGTTGGTGAGACCTTATAACAATATTATGGCAATGTTATCTCATGCATTATTCTCAGATGTTGCACTCATGTGTTTTGAAACACTTTCAGCAACTAYCACATCAGTTTTTACCTCTGTATCTGTTAAATTAACAGACAAGTGTTGGTGAACGTTGATCAGCTGTGGCGTCCATCTTGTACAGGATTGACTCCCAAAGTTAAAAAGTTGCAGATGTATATCCAGTCATTACTTTCTGAACTTTTTCTTAAAACCCTTTTAGTGATTCTTGAGATATTTTGCTAACAGACAATGAGAGTCACCTGCAACTGTTAATGCTAAAATTTTAAGTAATGAGCTTGCCCAAGGAGTAGCACTTGGAGTATGTGTTATGAGTGACTTTAGGGTAAAACCACACCAAGTTTTAGCTCAATATATGTTACATTGACTGAGTTTTTGCCATTTTTGTGTTGTCTAATATCGATCAGCTGTGGCAGCTATCTCAAATTGGATTTACTTCAATAGTTAATCAGTTATACATGTTTACATAATAATTATTATTTTGAAAGGTTAATTAAAATCTATCCAGTGTTTCGTGAGATATTTTGCTAACAGACAGACAAAATTGACTCTAATCAGTTAATGGCAAATATTTGAACAAATGTAAAGCACAATTTCTTAGTTCTTAAAATATTTGTTAGGGATCCGTCTCAGCTAATACCTCATTAAACTTTAGGTCAATGTCATTAAAACTGACTGAGTTACAGCTGTTTTGTGTTTTTTAATAAGCTGGCTTTTACAGCCATCTTTAAAAAGGCTGACTCCAAAAGTGAAAYAATTTTAGATGTATATTTATTGATTACTTTCTGCAAGTTTCATTCGAATTTACCCAATGGTTCATGAGCTATTTTGCTAACAGACAAATGGACACAAACACATGCACACACACACACACACTTATGCAGGCAAAACCTTCTATTCTGCCTTTGCCAAATGGAGGTAACAATGCAGCTCAGGTGTTACTGCTTATGTTTGAGGCGAGTTGGGGAACAGTTTGCAGGGCTCTGATTTAACAATCTGAATAAAGTTTGAAAAACTGTTGAATTTTGTTCAACGCTTCCGCAGCTTGAGAGGGTTCGGCGTTGGTTTTCACTGAGGGGAGTTTCTGTTCAAAGGCTGGTGAATTTATGACCTTCTTGTTGTGAGACAAAGTCACTTCAACGCCACACAATCTTTGCACTGCGATTCGCTGACAAGATTGTGGATGAATGAGCTAAAAAGCAAAATGTAATTAATTCAACACCCAGCATTCAAGGTTAAAGGCACAATTCTTAAAGGTGGCTTATTACTCATCAGCCTCTTGTTTCTGTCACTGTTGTTAACCGGGTTCATCGTATATCATAGTTAGACGGTGCCACCAGCCTTAACAGAGTGAGTGGAGAAGTTAAAACTGAACATATTTACACTTCTTAAAGATTTAAGGTGGGAATTTACAGCCTGAATCAGCTCAACACTGATGGCTTTATCTGCCTATTTTCTACAGATGGAAGAAGAGAGTCGTGACATTTCTTTTTGGCGAGGAAAAGGCCATACTCAGCAGGAGTTATCAAAGGCAAAAAAGTAAAAAGTTCGAGTTAGCTATCTCTCCCTCTGTCTCCCCCCTCTTTCTCTTCCCCTGGAGATACTCATGTTAAGCATAATTAAGCAGATTTGATTAGCATCAAGCCTGGCTTCCTCTCTTGACTTTTAATGAATGTAAATCTACCATCTACATCCTAAAGATTAATTTCTGCCAATTAAAAAACACAAGAGGGCTTATTCGAGAGAGGAGGAGGAGGGGGGTGTTGTGTGAGGCAGCTGAGAGAGAAAAAGTGTTCCGAGTCCTTTGAGTTGGAGAACAGTCAGTTTTATCCTCTTCCCCTTGTCTTATGGTGAGATGGTCTCTGGAGATCTGTGTCTCTCATTCCCTGAAGATCATTATCAACACAATGTTCCGTGAAAGCCACTTTGAAAGGACTGCAAGCTATATGTAAATGATGGGAGTGTGCGTGTGTGTGTGTAGTGTCTGTGTGGTGTTGATGAAGAGCTGTGCAAAGAACAGGTAAAGAGGTCAGCTTGTCAAAGAAAGAAAGAAAGAAAAAAGCTCATTGTTCACTGTGGGAGGTCCTGTTACATTTTGTGTTTTTTGGATCTAGATGTGAAGAAAAGGAACGTATCTTCTAAGAAGGACAGCTGACTTAATTGGCTTATTTGTCAAAAAAAATCTGAGGATGTGAATTATCTTATGTACGTTTTAATGACTGTTGCTTTAAGGCAAAGGTGATCATATTTTGTTCTGTATCTGTGCATTTGTTTATGTCATTAGCAATAYATCCCATGAATCATTAGGTTGATTTGAATAAAACTTCAGAAAGCAATCATTGGATAAACATCTGCAACTGTTCTTCTTTGGAGTTAACCTGATTCAAGATGGTCACCAACTGACCAAAACTCAACAATGACTTTAACGCTGTTAGATGTTAAGCTAAAACTTKGTGTGGTAGTAGCTGAGACTGATCCGCAACACGTGTTTGAAGCTCGAACAGATTGTGCTGTTTTACAATTCGGCATAAAATTAACTCAAAGTCTGACTATTGTACCAAAATGTCTCTCAAACCAAACAGATTTTAATGAAACATTCAGGAAACAGTTATTAGATATAACACTTAGAATTGGTTAACTATTGGAGCCAACCCAATTGAAGACAGCTGCCAAAGCAAAGTGACCTTAAAAAGGTTTTTAGAGTTGTGCTTAAGTTTGATGTGGTAGCGGAAAGTCATTCACTGCAAGTGTTACTGATTGCGAGTTTTTTTTATTAAAACATTATTACCTGTTGGAGTGACTCCTGTTTATCTGTTAGCATAATATCTCATGCAATACTGCACAGAWTTAGTGGAAACTTTTAGAAAGTAACCACTGGAYGTGCATMTACAATTGATTAACTTTTGGAATTAATCCAATAACCACAGCTAATAAGATTAGCCAACACGAAAATGGCTATAACTCAGGCAATATACAGATATTGTGCTAAAATTTATTATCGTTGTAGCTGATAGATGTTGGATACATCTCACAATATTGCATGGGACTGTGCGCTACTTCATTGTCATGGATTAACCAAAAACACCAACAAATCTGTCATTTCACAACATAAAATGAACTTAGTCAAAAAAAAAAAAAAATCTGGCATGAGAGACAACAGCCCATGTGTAATCCTTCAAGGAATGCAGACAGCCAGTTCATTATTAGTGTTCTTGCTTTCAATAAAATGACACAGAGCCTTATTTTTTCTCTCTCCCTGCAAGCTTTTATTAATAACACTCAAATCACATAAAGGTCAAGCACTAATTGGAAACCAGTATGCATTCCTTTACAAATTGAGCTGGTTTTATGTCTTGGAAGAAAAGCAGCCGAATCCCTTGCATATTTTATCCTGCGATGWACTTGTGCAAGAATCAGAAATCTTTTTTTTTTTTTTGTATTTGAGGCAGATCAGTTTAATGCTCTGTAATTACMTCGCTATTGTGTAAACGTATTTTCTCACATCTGTTAACTTTAAAAGGAACTCTTTGTGATGTCATGAAGACTGGTAAAAATACATTTAAAAGGTAAGACAAACAATTTTACATTTTACCCCCTTATACTGATAATTAATCAATATGAGAACATAATCCATCATGATAAATAAAGGAAGAGTCAAAGTCATCAAACATTTTGATGTACTGTACATATTCACACGTTTGTTGTGTAAATTAAAAGTACTTTGTTTACACCGAATGCGTACCTGCATAATTGGAAAACTAGTGGAGTAAACGTTTTCATGCTGCACTATTCAATGCAATTCAGGGTAAACATTTTTTATATTGTTTATAGTTTGCAATATGTCCCTTCAATGCATTTGTTGATCTGAAGCATGRAAATATGTAGATTTGTAAATCTAATAAACTCCTCCAAACTGCGTGGCACAAACATGTCAGGTCCCATCAGAGGTATTATTGTGCAGATTTGTTTGCAGCGCTCATAAATAAGCTTATCCAAAGTTTATGTAGGCTAATCTTTGCTGTCTCCTCTGAGCCCCCCCTCACCATCACTGCCTAAGAATAAGCCCAGGCTCCTCCTCTTTATGATAATGTGACAGTAGCATCTCCAGTGTGAGACAAGCCTCGGCTCATTCTGATTCAATAATGTGATCTGCTTTTTTCCCCACACGGACCCCGTCTCCTCTCCTCTCTTCTTCTCTCATCCCTCTCTCCTCTCTTCCAGACGCCCTATGCGCACCTCACTCCACTGCGTGTGCTCTGCCGAACTTTCCTGAACAGAGTTCGACTTCTTCCAAGTTTTACTTTTCGCGCACTCATTAGATTTCCTCCGACATGACCACCATGGCAAGTCCCGCCGCTCCGACTCTGCTCCCCGCGGCTCCGCTCGGACACCACCCGGCGCCGAGCTCCGTCTCGCCGGCCGCCAACTCCCCGCCGCCGGCGGCCACCTCGGCCGCCTCCTCCCCGGCCCCGCCGGTGGCTCACCCGGCGCTGCTTCACCAGTTCCGGGCGGACCTCCTGCTGTCCAACGGGACCCCGCTGAAGAGCGGCGCGGCCGCCGGCGGCGGCGGCGGCGGGGCKGCCAAGCCCGTGTACGCCACCGCGTCGCCCGTGGAGAGCACGCCGCAGAACAACGAGTGCAAGCTGGTGGAGGTGAAGGGTGCCAAGCTGGCCTCGTTCACGGTGAAGGGCGCGGAGCTCATCTGCCTGCCGCAGGCGTTCGACGTGTTCCTCAAACACCTGGTCGGCGGGCTGCACACCGTCTACACCAAGCTGAAGCGGCTGGACATCAGCCCGGTGGTGTGCAACGTGGAGCAGGTCCGCGTGCTGCGGGGGCTGGGGGCCATCCAGCCCGGGGTGAACCGGTGCAAACTCATCTCCAGGCAGGACTTCGAGACGCTTTACAACGACTGCACCAACGCCAGGTGAGTCAGGTCAGGTGTCGGGGGGCAGATCATGGGGGGGAGTTACAGGCAGGGGCAGCAGGTGGAGTTGAAAGTTGAAAATAGAGTATTTTTGATGTCTGTGCCTCAGTTTAACGCTTTGTATTTGATATCAGAAAATTATGGCAAAGTAAAACAACTGACTCTACAACATTTGTGCATAAAACATGAGCTTTCTGTTTGCTCTTGTGCATGCACATTTCATTGAGATGACAATTGTTTTGTTGTATCCAAAGTCAGTTTGATAACTAAACGTCCTGTTAACCTAGTTTTACTTGCCACTCTGTTGCTGCGAGGCCTGTAACCAATTATCGTTTTAATGGATGATAAACTTTGTGATGTTGATGATAATGAATTTTAGTAATCCCCCCCACCCACACACAAACACACACACACACACACACACACACAAAACACTCAAAAGTTTGTCATGTTATCATTGGCCATGATCTGTCTCACACTTGCCATGCACACACTCACACACACTTTGTCTCTGACACACTCGCACACATTGAATCTGACACTGTCATTCTGAGAAATTGATTCTTCACAGAAATTAATTAATTTTCATTTGGCCCCAAGCGGCAGCTTAAATCAGGACAAGCTCACTCACTCACTTGCTGATCCCCCCCCTTTTTGCTTTCTCTCCTTCTCCCATCCTCCCTGCCTCCCTCTCCCTCCTTAATAACTTGCTGTCTTATCATATCAACACCCTTTAGCCCTGAGCGTCAGAACAGAGGAGATGATTAAATGAATTCTCTGTATTTATGATGCGATTATGTAAATGAGCTGTTTTGCAGAACTCCGATGGTGACCAACTACATGGGTCATCAATCCAGCGCGGCGCAGAGATGTTTGGGATAAAGGGGGCTAAATTGGCTGGGATTTGTGGCTTCCTGGTGCCTCAGTCTGCTGTTGTGCAGACCACATGCTCATAACAGCATGAGTTGGAATCCAGAGGAGAGTGGATTAGCCTCAGTTTAGGGAATTTATTATTATTTGAATGTTAATCCATGCTCCTTGGAACATGGATAATCCAATTTACACCTGCCATTAACTTTAGATAGAGGAAGCATCAAGATGGGCTAAGATTAATCTCCCGAAAAACAAGAATTTGGAAACTTTTTCCCAATTTATTTACCGATACTTTGATATAGTTTTAACATTTGACGTTAATACCAGATGAAAGGTTTTAAGAGACGCTTTTACTTATTGAGCAACCTCCTCCCCCCCAAAAAAGGCAGTTTTTAGAACCCTCTTCTAGCTTCAAGTGTTTGGATTACCACCTGCGCCTAAGCTTTAGCAGCCCTCTAACCAAGACAAAATCCAGATGCATCTTCTGGCTGCTTTGGGATTTCGTCTGTGTCTGGTGTTAATGGGGAACGTTGTTATACAACCCCTGCAAATACACAGCCTCTGCCGTCTCTAATTATCCACACAACACTCAAACAGCCTTTAGTTAATGAGATCTGAAAACATCACTCGTCTGAAATCTTCAAACAGCTCGCCTGATTCTTTGTTTGAGGGCTTCAAATGTGCTGCAGTAGCCATTAGTATATCAGCCCCCCCCCCACATTAGAAGTTTCTAAGCGATCCCTCGTGTGTTTGGAGCAACAGTAGCAGGTAAAACAAAAAGTGGGGCTCAAGATGGTTCTGGTTAAAGGAGGGAGGCTGGTGGACTGAACCTTAGCGTTTCCCGCACATCTCTACGAATCTGATGATGTGGCTTTCTGACACCTATTGCTGTTACTGATTAAAACAGACATCACTTATTATTTTCCAGTTCAGTATACGAATCAAAGGAGACAAAACACACCTGTTTGATAGATTTACATAAATGTCAGGTTTTTATTCTTTTATTTTTTTTCTATAAATTGAAACCGTGTTCACAAAATAACCTCTAATATACTTTTTTTTCCTTGACTTGTTTTTTCTTGCTCTGCACACACATAGAGACACAGATGTTTGTTTTTCTATCCTTATGGAGACTTCCAATTGACTTCCATTCATTTACTGGTCATTTGTGTAACCTAACCCTTTATCTTTATCTTTATCTTTATTTATTTAACAGGGATAATGCATACAAAAACATAGAACAGATCAAGTCTGGAACTGATGTGTTGCACAAAGAGTATATAGCTACAGCTAATTTGCAACTCCAGTCCCTGGTTGGGCATTTTTACACAAATAAAGTACATACAAATTATGCATCCATATACACTAAAAATATATAAGCATGTCAGCCAACAAATTCATAAAATCAACCAATACRGCATACATATTCATGCGATAAAAATTAGCAATAAAATCATACAAAACATTAAAATACATAAAGGTAGAAATTCTAAAACAAACAGTTTGAATAACCTTAGAACCTCTAAAATTAACCATACAMRTCCTCAGGTACCTCTCCATCYGCCCACATTASCCAACACACGGTAAAARTKATCACTATAACACTAACACCCTGACACTTTGCCCTAATCCTAACAACCCCAGTACACCTAACCCTAAACCTAGTCTAATCTCAATTCACACCTTAGTCCTAAACTAAATCCCTGATCTACCAGCGGTACTTTCCCTGAAGGGGACTGGGCTTTTGTCCCCCTAAGCAACAGTGGATCCTCACAAGGCTGTGTGTACCAGGAAAATGGTCAAAAATTATCCCTACCAGGTAACAAAACATGTACACATGCACACACATCCTTGTACTTCCATCAAACTGAGAACTTTGTATTGACTTCCATTCTATTTTGTACCTGCGTTTATGCCTAACCCAGATATTTTCCCTAACCCTAACCATTACAAGTCTATTCCTAACCCTAACCTTACCTCTAAACCTATTAGAGCACAGTAAAAGTGCAGAAAAGTAAGGCCCAGGAAAATGTCCTCACTTCCAAAACCTGACCTCGCTTTGTTGGTTAAAAACACATGACAGTCCTCACTCTGTAGCAGAAACAAGTACACACACACACATACACACTGACTCATCAAACCATGAAGACTTCACCCTCAGTCACTCAGAAGTTAGTTATAATTCRTTCACAGGTGGCACGTAAACACACACWCTCTC